GCGGGGGCGGGCCAGCTTATAGGGGTCCGTAGAGGATGAGGCCAAAGAAGACGGCCCACATGAGCACAATCCATTGCATGCCGTCGAGCCAGTGGTGCAGCGAGCGCGCATTACCGTCGGAGATCTTGCGCGCCACGAACTTGAGCACCTCATCCAGCAACACCACGGGGATGGAGAACTTCATCACCGTCACCCACTCGTCCACCGACAGCGGCGTCACCTGGAACACCGCCTGCGCGCACACACACACTTTATTTACACATCTAATTATAATATGACAAAAGCGACCTTTACAAATAAATTTGCAAAAAACATCAACCTGTTGGCACCTAGACAATAGATTATTTTTTACTTTTTCATTTTTATTTCCTTCCTGCACTAGACTTATTAGCCAACAAATGGTCTAGCCGTCAAGCCAAAATCATTTAAAATAAAATCGATGATAATATACACCTCCATACACGCCCATACTAATTAAACGCCCAAATTTGACTAAAAAATTGATGTCTTATCCAAAAATTTAACAAAGTTAACTATTTTCTTGTAGTTTTTTGTTGTTTTTCTGTTGCTATAAGACCACTTACCGAGAGGACCTCGACGTATAGAATGACGAAGTGGAGGGTGAAGGAGAGCGCCATGGAGCCCACCAGCCACATGTTGGACCAGGGCGGCATCGTCACCAGTGACTGGTTCTCCGACAAGCTGTTCATCGCGTTCAACATCTCGATGGTTACCAGCACCGACAGCGCCATCGTCATCGGGTGCGGGTCCGTGAAGATCTTGCAGTCGATGCCCTGAAATATTCACAATAAAACATTCAATCAATTCACATAGATATAATATTGTGATAATTAAACGCCGTTTTTATGATAAAACCTGTATAAAAACATTAGTGTTACGGAGATACTAAAAAAAAAACTGAATTATTTTTATGTATATGATAGATGAAAAGTCTAGTAAAAGTACATTGTCACATTGACTCTTTGAAAGGTTTTGCTGGGGTTTTTCGGAGAGCTGGGTTGGCTGGCAAGGGCGGATCCAGCTTTGGCGCCAGGGGGGGAAGGTCACATAGTCGAGGTTACGTCAAGAGCTTGACAAAATATGTAAATGTATTTTGTCAAGCTCTTGACCAACCAGCTCAGGGGCGGGGGGTCATGACTTCAGATCCCCCCTAGATCCGCCGTTGTTGGCTGGAGTATTCCAGGTTCCTATTCTTACGCAAAATACGCGCCAGTCGTGGAGTTGCGGAAACCGTAGCCCCTACTACTAAGTGAACTTGCAAGTCGGTGGCAGTAAACCTGTTAATCTGCGGCAATAAAATATCAATACCTTGAATTCATCTCCTCCGCTGAGACACTGCAGGTGGTGCGTGAGCTGCCAGTACGTCATCTGCGGCCCGTACGGGGAGTACATGAACCACCACGACGCCGCGCCCACAGTCGCCATGCCCACGTACCCACCGATAGCCATGTATCTAGACATAGACATTTTACTTCTTACTATCTTACTAATCTTACTTAATATTATAAATGCGAAAGTTTAGATGGATGGATGTTTGTTAGAGTTTGTAGCTAAACTGCTGAACTCAATGTTTGGCATACATGTAGAAGGTAGTCTGTAAGTACACATAGGCTACTTGATTTTGTTTTTTTTACCACGCAGCCGTAGTCACGGGCGAAAACTAATTACTTCATAAATATCAACTACTAGCTAGAGTTAAAAAAAAAAACAAAAGCAGAATCCATTCATCCTATTAGGCTGACCAAGCTATCCAAGATATTTGGCAATTACTATACCAATAAAAATAAGATTAACAATTTCAGAATAAGAATGGCACAAAAAATGTATTTTTGATACAATACTAACTGTGAAACTGAAATCAACTTGATGTAATACTAGAAAGTGGTATTACGTATATAACAATAAACTTCGTTTCCAAATATTTTTTACTCTGTGCAAGATAGACAAAATCGATTTATTCTTGTAATAAAAATCTCACCAATCGACGAAAACGATTGAACGACACGATTATAAACCTTTTATGGCTTTTTTTAAAGAAAAGAAAAAAAATGCAACTAAAAAAAACAACACAGTTTTAAAAACGGAAGGTATCAAATAGGGAATATGCATGAATTTTTTCGTTTTTAAAATATTTATCCTTGTTATATGAATAACAGACAAATTGTTATATATGTGAAGTATTGGGACAAACCTGAAGAACAGCCAGCCGGAGATGAGACCCTCGTCGGCCTTGCGCGGGGGCTTGTCCATGATGTCGAGGTCGGGGGGGTTGAAGCCGAGCGCGGTAGCGGGCAGACCGTCCGTCACCAGGTTCACCCACAGCAGCTGCACCGGGATCAGC